GGAAGAGTCGTTTGGTGTGTGATTGTTTGGTTTAGTTTTCTCCAAGGTAGCTTGTCTCTTTCTTTTCCTGGGATGAAAAAGGTCTTTGCCAAAGCAAAGGGTGCCACAGGAGCTAGTCTCTTAGGGTGGTGATACCCTCATTAGCCGAGTCTTTCTTTGAGAGTTCCTCTGCCATACATGTGCCTGGTGACTCTGGAGTTGGCAGGCACGAGGAGTGCGCGTGTGGCAGCCTACACGCACAGTTGGGGATTTTTTTATTGGTTTGTTTTAGTAAAAGCTGAAGTAGGAACATTAAATGTTTTATAAGGACAGTGTATCTCCAGAGCTGGCTCCTTTTTGGGATCTCCAAATGTTTACGTGGTCAGTGCCTTCCCTCACTTACATGGACTTTAATTTTGCTGCGTTCTGTGGGTCAGTTTTATATCAGACTAGGGGTGTTTTTGTTTCACTCAACCTCTGTGCATTTGTTGGAATTAGGATATTTGAACTCGCTCTCTTCTGTTTCTTGTTAACAGTTCTGTGAATGAAAGCTGGCAAGGTTTTATGTATTTTTCCTAAAATGACTGTTTTGCTGCTGGAGTTGGTGCTGTGCTTCCTTATGGTAATATCAAGTTATAAAATATTTTCCAAAGCTTAATATTGAGTGAAGGAAATAGTTATTAAAACAGAGGCTGGGCCATTGTTGGTTTATCCTGAAGTTGATTCTTTTGTGATGTCTTGAGATTACCAGTGGTGATTTTCTGGGCTTTTTAAAATTTGGTTTTGTACCAAGAGGGCAACATTACCTTTTATACAGACGAACGTGGCAGTGGTGCAGACCTCTTCTGATTTTTCTTGAGCTGTCTCAAATCTGATGCTTTTATTTCACCTAGATGTTCGACTCTGCTTTTGAGCAGCCTTTCATTCTAATACAGTTTTGAGACAGAACTGAAGGATTTTATTTAATGGAGACATTACTTAAAATCATCTTGATGTAGCATTTAAAAGACCCACAAATTCACAGGTGATCACTTAACACTGTAGCTTTTCGAAATGTTTGTATTGCTTCACCGCACATTTTGTTTTGCTTTCTTTATTCATTGTTTATTGCTTTACAGTACAGCGAGCAGGTGTTAAACCTGCTAAAGAAAAATGCTTTTTATTAACACTATATGTTGGCATATTTGTGAATTATGTGTACAAATATATCTTTATTTCTCTTTCTCAAATCTCCTTTGAAATTCAAGAGGGTTTGTTTTTTTTTGGGGTTTTTTTTTGGAGTTGATTTTTTTTTTAATGCTGTAGTAGCAGAAGCCCATAGTGTTGTTGAGAGCTTTGTCCTTATTTCACAGATGCACTGGGAATTGTTTTTAATCTCCTTTCTGCTTTCCCATTACAGATGGTGATGACGACCCACAACTCTCCTGGGTGGCTTCATCTCCCTCCAGCAAAGATGTTGCATCACCCACTCAGATGATAGGAGATGGGTGTGATCTCGGCATCGGGGAGGAGGAAGGGGGGACTGGCCTGCCGTATCCCTGTCAGTTTTGTGATAAGTCCTTCATTCGCCTGAGCTACCTTAAAAGGCACGAGCAGATCCACAGTGACAAACTACCTTTCAAATGCACCTACTGTAGCAGGCTTTTTAAGCACAAGAGAAGTAGGGATCGCCACATAAAGCTTCACACGGGGGATAAAAAGTACCATTGCCACGAATGCGAGGCTGCGTTCTCTCGCAGCGACCATCTCAAAATTCACCTGAAAACCCACAGCTCCAGCAAACCATTCAAGTGTACTGTGTGTAAACGTGGGTTTTCATCTACCAGCTCATTGCAGAGTCACATGCAAGCTCATAAAAAGAACAAGGAACATATGGCAAAGACTGAGAAAGAGGTGAAGAAGGATGATTTTATGTGTGATTACTGTGAAGAGACATTCAGTCAGACAGAAGATTTGGAGAAGCACGTAATGACACGCCACCCACAGCTTTCCGAGAAGGCAGATTTGCAGTGTATTCATTGCCCTGAAGTATTTGTAGACGAAAACTCGCTGCTCTCACACATTCATCAAGCCCATGCCAACAAAAAACACAAGTGCCCTATGTGCCCGGAGCAGTTTTCTTCGGTGGAGGAAGTCTATTGCCACTTGGACAGCCACAGACAACCTGACTCCAGCAATCACAGCATCAGCCCTGACCCGGTCTTGGGGAGTGTGGCATCCATGAGCAGTGCAACTCCCGACTCCAGCGCGTCGGTGGAGAGAGGTTCCACCCCGGATTCGACCTTAAAGCCTTTGAGAGGACAAAAGAAAACCAGGTCTGTTGACAGAGAGGAAGGCCAGAACTGGTCTAAAGTTACTTACAGCTGCCCGTACTGCTCGAAGCGTGACTTCAACAGCCTTGCTGTTCTGGAGATCCATCTGAAGACCATTCATGCAGACAAACCTCAGCAAAGCCACACGTGCCAGATCTGCCTTGATTCCATGCCTACACTGTACAACTTGAATGAACACGTGAGAAAAGTGCACAAAAACCATGCCTATCCCATGATGCAGTTCAGCAACATTTCTGCCTTTCATTGTAATTACTGCCCGGAGATGTTTGCAGATATCAATAGCTTACAGGAACACATCCGCATTACTCACTGTGGCCCGAACGCTACCCCTCAAGATGGCAACAACGCTTTCTTCTGTAACCAGTGCTCCATGGGCTTTCTGACCGAAGCAACCTTGACTGAGCACATTCAGCAGACTCACTGCAATGTAGGAAATTCAAAATTGGATTCCCCTGTCATCCAGCCAACACAGTCTTTTATGGAAGTTTATTCATGCCCTTATTGCACAAACTCCCCCATTTTTGGCTCCATCCTGAAGCTTACAAAGCATATTAAAGAAAACCACAAGAACATTCCTCTGGCACACAATAAGAAGTCAAAAGCAGAGCAGAGTCCAGTTTCTTCTGATGTTGAAGTCTCTTCCCCTAAAAGGCAACGGCTTTCTGCTAGTGTAAACTCAGTGTCTAATGGTGAATACCCATGTAATCAGTGTGATCTAAAGTTCTCAAATTTTGAAAGTTTTCAAACCCATTTAAAGTTGCATTTGGAGCTGCTGTTGAGGAAACAGTCTTGCCCTCAGTGTAAAGAAGACTTTGATTCCCAGGAGTCTCTTCTGCAACATCTCACTGTGCATTATATGACAACTTCAACTCATTATGTGTGTGAGAGCTGTGACAAACAGTTTTCTTCAGTGGATGATTTGCAGAAGCATTTGTTGGACATGCATACTTTTGTGTTGTATCACTGTACCCTTTGCCAAGAAGTTTTTGATTCCAAGGTATCTATCCAAGTGCATCTGGCAGTCAAGCATAGCAATGAAAAGAAGATGTATCGTTGCACAGCCTGTAACTGGGATTTTAGGAAGGAGGTGGATCTCCAGATTCATGTGAAGCATAGTCACTTGGGGAATCCATCAAAGTCTCACAAGTGCATCTTCTGTGGTGAGACCTTTAGCACAGAGGTGGAACTGCAGTGCCATATCACAACCCACAGCAAAAAGTACAACTGCAAGTTCTGTAGCAAAGCTTTTCATGCCATCATCTTGCTTGAAAAGCACTTAAGGGAAAAGCATTGTGTTTTTGATGCTAGCGCTGAGAATGGTACAGCTAATGGCATGACCCCAACAAATAAGAAAACAGAAGGGGCAGATATCCAGAACATGTTAATGAAGAATCCAGATACTTCAAACAGTCATGAAGCCAGTGAGGATGACGTAGATGCATCTGAGCCCATGTATGGCTGTGACATTTGTGGGGCTGCCTACACCATGGAGGTCCTCTTGCAGAACCATCGTTTGAGAGATCATAACATCAGGCCCGGGGAGGATGACTGTTCTAGGAAGAAAGCAGAATTCATTAAAGGTAGCCACAAGTGTAACATCTGCTCAAGGACCTTTTTCTCGGAGAACGGCCTGAGAGAGCACATGCAGACCCATCGAGGCCCAGCTAAGCACTACATGTGCCCCATCTGTGGGGAACGCTTCCCATCACTCCTGACCCTGACGGAGCACAAAGTCACTCACAGCAAAAGTTTGGATACAGGGACATGTCGGATCTGCAAAATGCCGCTGCAGAGCGAGGAGGAATTTATTGAGCACTGCCAAATGCACCCAGATCTCAGAAACTCCCTCACCGGGTTTCGCTGTGTTGTGTGCATGCAGACCGTCACCTCTACCCTCGAGCTGAAAATTCATGGGACGTTCCATATGCAGAAATTGGCAGGAAACTCTGCGACCTCATCGCCCAACGGCCAGGCCTTGCAAAAACTCTACAAGTGTGCGTTGTGCTTGAAGGAGTTCCGGAATAAGCAGGACTTGGTAAAGTTGGATGTGAACGGCCTTCCCTATGGCCTGTGTGCTGGTTGCATGACCAGGAGCACCAATGGACAGTCTTCGGGCTTGACTCCACAGGAGGTGAACGAGAGGCCATGTGGCAGTCTGAGGTGTCCAGAGTGTAGTGTCAAATTTGAAAGTGCTGAAGACCTAGAGAGCCACATTCAGGTAGACCACCGAGACCTGACACCTGAGACTAGCGGCCAAAGGAAAGGTACCCAGACGTCCCCTGTTCCCAGAGTAAGTACAGCTGAACTTTAAAATGTCTGAGGGATAAAATGTAGACCTTCACTGTGAGAACTGATCTGATGTTATTAATTTTTTAAACTGTCACACTGTCACTGTATCAGTTTACTTGTGCTACTGAAGAACCCAACAGAGCAGGAGTAATGCCCATAGAAAAACTAGAAGTTGTTCAGCCTTGCAGCCTCCTTGATTCCTAGTGGCAGTTCATCAGATTTTTTTACCAAAAAACTGCTCTAGATTTACCAACAGAGAGCTGAGACACTTGAACAGTGGGGATAGGGTTGTCCATGGGTTCTGATTCTACTGAACTGGCAGATCTGGAAAAGCTGAGGCATTTTCAGGAAAAAAGGAGTCACTGGGTACTCAAAATGACCAAAAAAAATCCAATTGTGGTATTTGAGGAATGGGGTTATTTCTTACCAGGGAAATAATAATGAGCAGGAGAACACAGGAACTTTTGAGAAAAAATGTAGTGAATTTCCCCCTATTCCCCCAAATTCTCACTTAAAACAAACTTCTGTGCTAAAGAGCTTGTCCTTACGGATGTCTGTCAGAGTGAATGTTTTGAGGTTACTTGGATGTCTGTGTGCATACATGTGTGCTTGTGTGTGTGTGATTTTAAAAGTGATTTGAACAGAAACTGCTTCATGGCCCTTCCATAAGATAAGTAGTTTTCTTAGCAAATCTGGACGTTCTTGTCTAATGCAGATTACATAGAAGTGTGCTGTCCTTGAGGGTTCACAGATAGCCTGATTTCCCATTCCTTATACTTGGGAACATGCAGATCCAAGTAAGGTTCCAGAAGCCTACTCAGGAGATTAATATCATTTGCAGTTTATAGTCTTTTAAAATTATTTGTTGACGTTTTGGTTCAAGAATGGGCCAAGTCAGTCCTTCCTCTGTCAGGAACAGATGGAATGAGAAGTGGATTTTGGAAATCTTCTCAGGAGACCAACAGCAGACACATCTGAGTATTGATATCATCTGACATTTTTAATTAAACATGATGGGGTGAGATTTTCAAAAGTATCTAAGGAAATTAGGCACCCAACTCCTAATGAATAATTCCAGCCGTAGATGCCTGTTTATGTCAATCTGCTAATTAAAGCACCCACAAACACATTTTACTGAATTAAAAGAACCTGAAAATACCATACATTCAACTAGAGCACCAGAGGCTCAGTAAGTAAGAGAAGACCCTAAGTGTGTCCTGAGGATTTAGACTGAGATGCCTCCAACAGAGCTGGTGCAGGCTGTGCCCCCAGCAGGACTTGTTAGCTCGGGCTCAGTGCCAGCCCATGCTGGGCAGCCACGTCTGGCTGAGCTGAGCTGTGCATGGCCACACTGGAGAGGGGCACTGCCTGCCCCAGCTCTCTCTGGCCTCAGTGCCCCAATCCAGCTTTCTGAGCCAATCCCACAGAAAGTTTGATTTCTGGTTTTTGTTGTCCTTTCTTTTAGTAAAACCACTGGATATTGTTCCCTATGGGTGTGGTGAATGTGTGACTAAGCCTCCAGGCACACACACCTATTTTTGGTGAAGAATGAGGAATGGAAATAGGCCTCCTTTGGTGTGATAACTTTTGAGAGTTTGGCTGAGGTTCTGGCTAGGTCATTGTCCTTCCTCCTCCTCCTCCTCCTCAAGCCTTTCTTTCTAAATTCTTTAAAAACACCTCTGTTCTCTTAGGTAGGACTAATTCTTATTTCATATTGCTGTGTATGTAGCCTAAAGTACTACCTTTTGCTAGCAGAACACATTGCCATTTTCTGTCTTTTTTTCTTGCTTTAACTCTTTCTTTTCAGTGACAGTTTCCATACTTGTTCTCTCAGGGGAAAGTTACAAGTTCTTCAATGAGGTAAATGCTTTGAATTTCATCCCATGAGGAAAGTTCTCAGTTCCTTTGTAGAAGATAATGAACAATCAGCATTTGTGACGATGGCAAATGGTACCTTCAACCACTGTCTATGGCCTGCACATATGCTAATATCAGAGACCTTTATGGTGTGTATCCCAGGAATAGATATATTATTAGGAATAATTCATTATCTTACCCTTCATTATAGGTACAAGACCTGAATTCTGAAATCAGTTCACTTGAAAACTATTGGTGTTTCACTCAGGTTTCTCAAGACAATGAGTGCCCATTGTGTCTGCCTAGTACAGGGATTTTCAAAGAATTACTCTGTCTTTTAAATGGTGATAAATCTCTGTATTTCAAGAACAACATTTACTTAACTTCATTGGCTTCATAGCAAAGCTAAGAAAGTTGAACATCATCTCTCTTGTCACCTTCTTGGTGTGCTGCACACAGGTAAAATACCACTTTACTAGAGCAATCTCCAGCACACAATGCATGTAGAGTAATCTGCACATTTCCAGAGAAGGGCTACTTCTCTCTTGTTCTTGAGCACTTCTACATTTTCTTTTTTAAGCACTTTATTGATTTTTCTTTCTTAAATATAAAAGCAGTTGAAGATTAGGACAAGGTACAGTCAGAAAGAAAATACAGGTAGATGAGATTTTCAGTAGTGAGTATCTGTGTCAGAGTAAATAAGACTGAGCAAATGAAATCCAAGCAAATGGAAAAGATGATAATAACATTAAAAAATCTGTAACTTCTTTCAGTGTCAGAAATTGCTCCACTAACAGTTATACTTTTTGAATAGGAAGTGAATGTGGAAGACTAAAAGAATTTCAGAAAAAAACCTGAAATGAATATTTAACCCCAAACTGAAAGAAAGGAAGACAATAAATATTAACCCTTGATGAATAAAGAATATTTCGGAAGAAAAAAGTTAGAGAAACTGGATTCCTTTTTACTATGGGTATTTTTGTATATGCAAGTGAATATAGCACCGCAGAGGAAGTGTGTGAATATTTTATTATGTTTTGCTCTGATTTTTTACTATTGAATGATTGGAGGTTTTTCTCCTGAAAATCATTTGCAGACAGTTAGATGACCATGGAGAACTACTCAGAATTGCTTGGCAGTTTTGGGATACGGGGTTATTTTCATCCATAAGAATGAAAGAAACCCTTTGAAAATCCTGCTGTATTTTGTCTTCCTCAGTTACATTTTTAGCATGGCAAACAGGAAGAAATACCTGTGAATTCTCATAGAACCTTTGCTTCTAGGAATCCTACCTAGGATCCACTCATGTTGGTCAACAAGATAGATTTCCAGGCAAAGTTTTTGTCTTGTGTGTATCTCAACATTTGTAGTGGAGGATTTGTTTTTAGGAGAGTTTAAGTCAAGCCAGTGGTCTTTGGTAGGAAACATCACTGAGAGGAATAAATAAAATACATCTTAGTAGAAGATTGCTCTAACATCAGCTTTTGTTTGATTCTTGGCGTTTCTATGAGCTATTCTGTTTGGATAGGACTAAAGGGTTTTTTCAGATGAGCATCACAAATGACATTCCAGTGTCTGACACATGTATAGTTCAAGACCTTTTCTTGTTCTATTAAGATCTCATCAGAGGTAAAGCTTTCCTGGGTTTTCACATTTTTCTGTGCGCGGCAGCTTCAGTTTTGAATGCATTTTATTAATTCCTTTTAACATGCATTCTAGAAGAATGTGCATGTCTTGAGAAACATGACAAGTTGTTTAGGACTGAGATTTCTCATTGCCTGATACTGGAAACAGTCACATTTCAAGCTGTTCTTTCTCTTATTTTATACCATAGATATCATGAACAATGACTGTTTAACATTGACAATGGCAAATGCTTAGACTTCAGTTAAGTTTTCATCTTGAATGGTGTTACTATTTTTAGCACACCTAGGTTATTTGGGCTGAAGAAGCAAAGGAGGTAGCATAGAAAGTTGGAAGAATGAACCTTATTGTGTTCCCTTAGTCAGTTCCTTTCCTTGTGCACACTTTCTTGGACTCTATTCCTTCTCTTTGTTCTCCCCCCCACCCCTTCTCTTCCCTTGTAAATCCATTTGAATGGAGGAATATTTTCTTTGTAGAACAGGAAACCATTTCCAGATTTAAAGGAGGATAGTCTGGAAAACCCATGGGAACAATAGATACTTCAGAAAAGAAAACAGAACCCTCTGTTGTTATTACTGCAATTTTGTGCCAAGACTAGAATTAAATATCTTTACTTAATGGGAACTGAGCTCTCAGCTGAAGGCCTGTTCCTCTGGCCCCTTATGTCACCTAGATGCCATCACCTAGACTCTGTCAGCTCCTCAGAGTGTGGGCACCCTTGTCACCACTTGTGAAGAGAAAACTTCAGAAAGAGATAACAGATCCATTAATAATGTTCACAAAGCAAAAAAATGGTAGTAGAAGGTCATGTTTGGTACCACAATTAATACAACCTTGTGTTAAAGATAGTGCTTCCCATTTACTGGTGTATGTTTGGTGACATTCTTTAAAGACAGTCCTTGAGCCAAAAATCAGCTCTTCCATCTCTTGCACATATAGTTGGGTGCTAATCTAGCTATAGTTATTTTGAGGCCTGTATAAGGCTGATTATTAACCTCACTCCATATCAAGCAGGGTGCTCTGTCACAGGAGCCATCACCTTGGTTAAGCTGCTTTTTTGCATGTGTGGGTCTCAACTGAGGCTGAAGGTAATACTCAGAGGAAGTGTGAAATCTGCTGTCTTCTTTGAGGGGTGGACATGCCAGGCAGTGTTTTATAAGTTTGTGAAATGGTGTGGAGGAATTAGCACTGGGTCTCTGGGTAAACCAAGACATCCTGTCTCCAGATCTGTTAGTGAGTAGCTTTCAGAAGCACCAAAATCAATTAAAAAAATGAGTCATTTGTCTGTGTTCAATATAACTTTAAAGGCTTAAAACAGAGTGGGGCTGAGATATTGTCCTCTTTAGCTAGTTACTGAGGGAACCCTCATTACAGAGATAAGCGCTGGACAAGGCACAGAACTCAGCTTTGAAGTTTGAAAGATGAGGAAGGTTTCAAGTTTTACATGTGACCACATGAATCGGTCACTGCCCAATCCTGTTTTTCTCTTCCAAGGTTTTTTTGTGTTTTCTTTTGTTTTTAAAGTGAAGAGCCCTCAGCATGTGTATGGCAGTGTGTTTGAGAGGACATGTGGACGTATGTGTGCTGTGCTTGTCTGCCAGAATAGATTCCCCAGAAAGAGCACTGCAGAAATCCAGCTGCTTTTCCATTAACAGCCTTGATTTCCGAATGGACTCCAGGAGGATACTTTCTTGAGCCGCCTAGGGATAACTAGCCAATCCAAACTATTTCCTTTTCTATGGTTGGCTGTGTCAGCTTTCGGCCAATGGAGTTTAGCCTTCTTCCTATTATCATGTTAATCACCCATTGTTATCTGAGCCCAGAAAGCTCTGCCTATGTGCAAACACATACTGTGTGCAGAATTCATGGAATACACATAGCATCCATAGACTGGTGCATTTGTTATTATGGTATTACAGCATGTTCATTAACCTCCAGCAGGCTAACTTGTTGCCATTGATGACATGGGAAGTAGTTAAGAAGCTCTTGGCAGCACCTAATTTGTTCTTTCCTCAGCAGGTGCTCGAGGAAATTGGATCCCATGCACAGAGGGGGTGACAGCAACTCCTCTGTTTAACTCCAAACTTCTGACTTATCACTGCTGTCCTAAAAATGGGATTCTGTACCTGGGTGTGGGATGGAGGCTGTGAGAAAAAGTATTGTGCATCTAAACATACACAAAAAGTACCCACGAAAAATATTTTGCTTCAAAAATGTTAAGAGGGTGTTGTTTACTGAGTTGGGTTTCGCAGTGCTGTTGGCTTGGGGTTCTCATCCATTCCTCAGCTAACTGGGCTTGTGGTCAGCACGTGGAGATTTCTTGTACATTCTGCTGCCATCAACTCTAGCCATGAGGACACAGACTGCATGGTCATGCTCATGCCTAGAGGCAAGTGTTGAAGTAGGAGCTATTCTCCAGAAAGAAGTAGGCACAAAAGGCCCAATTTTTCTAAATTACACATCAAAAGATGTCTATTTAGATAGCATATTCCCATGCAGTAGATGAGCATGTACTTTAGACCAAAGCACCAGTCTCCTCCCTTGGGAAATAAGAGTTTTTGCAAGTGTACAAAGCCTTTATGGTTGGGGTGGGTTTTTTTTTCTCCTGACTTGAATGTCTAACTTTTCAACATGCATTTTAATTTCTGCAAATGGTTTCTCGGAATTTTTCATGTCATGTTGCACAAGTACAGACACCACTGTCAATCTGAGTGCAAACCCCATTTTCCCTGTTTGAATAAATGGTTCATGTAATTGCCTCTTCAGACTGTCTCCTGACTTCTGTAGCTAGGCCTCCCTGGTATGGCTTTGAGATGGAGAAAATATCAACAGACTGTGCTAGGAAACAGTTCTGTGTGGTAATGCAGTTTTTCCAGATTTCTGATGGGAAACCAATATAAAATGTATTTTTCCCTTCACTTCCTCAAGTAACTATAGGTGCTCTGCCTACTGTATTTTGAGTTGAATGAAAGGTGGATTTTTTTTTGAGAAAATTGATCTGATTCTGAAAACAGTTACTTTTCTGTCTTTTGTTTCACTCTGTGGGAATTTTACTGCCATGGGTCAAATGACAGAGACAATCTTGTTACGGCTCAAGTAGTCAGTCAGATTTTCAGGTAGTATGATTAGAAAAATTTTAAGTTGAAGTTAAAATTTCTCCTAAAGCAGGTTGTTAATTAGAGATTGTATTGATGGTCCCAGAAAAGCTTGGCCTGGGGATATATGAGCAAAAAAGGCCTCAGTGGAGGAAATTTGAAGCATGTAACATGCTAAATTCATGATCACACTTGCCTTATGCTACAGTGCAGTTTTCTCTAATCTCTTTTTGGTTATTAAACAGAAAAAGACCTATCAATGCATCAAGTGCCAGATGACCTTTGAGAATGAGAGAGAGATACAAATCCATGTCGCTAACCATATGATTGGTAAGACATTCTTTACACTAGGCCACTCATTGGCTGCTTGTTTTTTGCTACTCTTTGAAATTCACTATTCTAATAACTTGTTAATATTCATGCTGTTATTAATTTTTTTTTATTTTCCAAGGCGAATGATTTTGATGTAATGATTCTTCACTTCAAAGCTTTTTAAATATGTGGTTGTAAAAGTGTTACTGCTGAGCTTTTTTTCCTTATCCTTTTGAGTCCTCATGTAGCATTTTCATTTATATTAAAATCAAACTTTTGACAGTATCTTCCATTTGATAGCATAAATTTCTCTCTATCTGTGTAAAAAGTACTTGCCAGTTGTCAACCACTTAGGAGCAATTATGTTTCAATTTTGTATGTCATGACATTGAATAGATGTAACTGCTAGCATTTTCCCAGCTAAGTGTGGTGAATTCCTGAGGAACATTGTCAAAACAAAACACTTACAGAGTTATTTCAGTGAGTTTTTTTCTTATTTTTGCAACAATTCTGGACTTCAGAAAGTTCAACTTCTCAGACATACGAGTGTTTTAAAAATCAGTCCTTTCTGCCTGCTACTACAGTCCTGTCACAAGAGTTAGTAAAAGCATCATTGTGATCTGATGGGTTGTATTTCTGCTGCAGCTGTATGATTGCTTTTCTGATCAACACAGAAATGTTTTTCCTGTCTGTACAGATGTTATAAATGTATGTGTTGCCCAAGAGGTCAGTTTATTTTGATTCATAGACCACAAGGAGTTACTTACACATGCCACTGTAGGCATATGTTGGATGAGACCCTACAAGGACTCTACAGTGCTGTCTGTCTGTCTCATATGTTCACATGCAGCATTTATCTCCCATAAGCATAATGGTTTTCCTTCAACATGTTTAGGAAATTATTCTCCCATCAATTCAGGTATGTAACTCCTATTAGCTTTGAAGTGGATTATGCATAAATACCAGAGAGAGAGAGAAATATGGACTGACAGAGTCTTCCAACCTGCACCCCCAAATGAAAAATATGTGTCAGTCACAATAATTTTCATTTGAGAGCCAGGCAGGAGTGCTAAGTTAGTGTCAAGCAGGTTAAGATGAAGATATCTAAAAATGTTTGCTTTTGTAGCAGGTGTTAATGTAATCTCTTGTTTGCAGGCTTGAAGAGAGAAATCCTTGTTAATTGGACCATAGTGATTTCATGTAGTTCTTGTTAGATTTTTTTTTTAAGGAAAGAAGTCCTTAGGCAAGCTTAGCACTTGTTTCAACTTAATTTGTGATCCAGTAGCTAATAAATTATTTTTCAATGCAAAGGTCATGAAGTGCTGAGTTGAGGTTCTGCTTGATTTGAAAGGGGAATTATTTTTCCTGTTGGAAAGATGCAATTTCTTAATTTCCCACTAACTGGTGTGTGAAGTTTATTTATGTGTACCCCCAAATTAGTGCTGTCTGGAATAAAGCACAATGATACATATGACTTTACAAGGTTCACTATTAGTCCTGTTGGAAAGCAACAGTCGTAGAAGGTATAGGAATCTGAGAAAAGTGTGGTGCTGCTGTTTGTGAAAACTGTACCCATTGTTTCCTTGAAGCTGTACATAAGTTATTATATATATTTGGAAGAGCTCTATATGAATACAAAGGTGCATATGAGCCCAGATCTATACACCTAGAACATTGTAAAGACCAGGACATGGTAAGGACATGTGTGATTATTCCACTGAGGTGTCATATCTTCTTGTTGCTCAGCTGATGTGCAGACTAAGGATGTTCATTAAGTTCAGGTCATCACATCTTCTAATGGTGCAGTTTAGAAAAGAGTGAAGTGCAGAAACCTCTAATATGGAGCCAGACTTCCTCCCACTCTGGAACTCTCCGTTCAGGACATGTGACTGCTTCTGGAAAGGTGTTGTCAGTGAGTCTGCTTGCTGGTGTTCACTGGTATTTGTTCTTTACTGGGGAACACTGAAGGGAAAAGGAGAGGCTAGATGTCACCATTTCTCCAGCAATAAATGCTGTGCAAATTCTTGGTGTTAATTTGCATAGTCCTGAGTCAGTAATAGCAAGGAGAGTGATGGGCTGCCTCTTGGGCTTGTTTCTGTGCCCTTTGGTCACAGCCTGAGAGCTTTTTTCCCTTATTCAGGCCTTAGGAGAGACTGGCACATGCCTCCTTACTGCTCAGGCTGGTTTCTCTCTTATAAAATAAGGGGTGCAAGAGTTTCCCTTCTCTGCGTAGACCAAGTCTAGCCAGATGAGCAGTGAGAGAAGGAGGCTAATATAGCTGTTTCTGCAGCCCAGGTCTATTTCAAAGGGATTATAAATGTCATCAATTTAAGCTCTACAGATGAGGATTTGTTTATGCTGGGGGGACACTGAGATTGCAGAGTGAACTTACTGGAGGAGCTTGCCCTCAGACTGTGTGTCCTCAGGAGTTTAGGGCTGGCCTCATCTCAATGAACTTGTATCTGTCTAAAATTAAGGTGTCTGGTTTAATATAGTCATTGACATGCTGTCTGGGGAAAATGAATGATTGATACCAATCTAAGATAAGAGTTAGAGTAGGATAAGCATTTCCAGGGAGAGATTTTTATCTCTCTTTTGAATTTGAGGTGAGCCAAGACAATGAAGTTAGCCTTGACATGTAATTTTTAGGTAAAAAATCCCTTGGCTTTGATAATCCAAGACCTCTCAGCAGCACTTTTTTTCTCATACTTTGAGAAACACAAAATCAATAGTCAAGATATCCTAAGCACTTGCTTACAGTTCTATTCTGCTCAAGTGACTGTCAACAAAGGAATCCCTGCTCTGTAGCACTGATGCATCTTAAGTATCAGTGTCCATAATATGATTAAAGAATTCAATTATTTCTGACATCATAGTCTTAAAAACTGCATCCAGCAGCTCCTCAGTCTGGAGTCGGAGGCCCTGTTCATAATTCATGGAGGTAGGGGGTTTATTTTTTTCAAAGCAGTATGCAGGGAATTTCCAGTGCTACTCCCACACACTGCTTTGAAAAATTACCCTTCTGCACTCTAGCCTTTCATATCCTGTGCACAAACACAGAGGCACATTGGGTCCTGCACAGAGTCCCCAGGGAAGGAGCAGGCTGGATACATCCCCAGAGGAGGGAAACGGGCGATGTTTTGTTTCAGTTTGTGCTGGGGCCTGTAGGAGGGCTGTGTGCTGCAGAACAGACCTGCTCAGCTGGGCTTAGCCAGGAAGGGATCTGTTTAGGAAGGTTTTCAGCTGTGTGTGTGTGTGGGGGGCAGTTCAGGTTGGAATTTTTAGAGAGCAGTGCTCTTTGAAACATTGCACCAATTGGGGCTCCTTTGAAACATTTCCATGCCCGCAGAAAGGGGATCCCCCTTTGAAACATTTACAGGCATTGGGGAGTCCACCTGGGACTATATCAAAAACTTTCAGTAGTTCTTGCTGCCTCTGTACTTGCTTACCTCCTGTTGCGCTGACCTGGCAATGTTTAAAGCTTCTCCCCCTTATCTCCTCACCTACCACTGCCTCTGATGTGCAGTGTCTATTAGATGCAGGGGAGGATGGGAGTGCTCAGCCATGGGCTCTACGGGGGGCACTGAGCAGCCACAAGCATGGAAATCTGTCAGTGCAGCCTCTCCCCAGTGGCTGTAGGAGCTGTGGAACTTCAGTCTCCATCACTGGGGCCACTGCTGAATCCCCATGGCATGTGAGCAGTGACTGCTCCCATCCTGCTCTGCCAAGGGAAACTCACACTGAGCCCTGCTCATAGAACATAGGGCTTAGGCCCAGGGTTTTCCTGTTGGGTTTTTACAGCTGTGCTGTTCCCAGACAGTCTGGGTGCCATAATTCATATTTTTCAGGGTGCACAAAATTCCACAGACTTGTTCTCCAAGTGGGTCAGGTTGCCCAGTATCAAGGGGAAGCACATTCAGATCCCTGCCAGAGTTCTCAGCTGTTTGGGTAGGAGAAGTGGACATACAGTACTTCTCTCTGTCTTGGTTAGATGAGGGATGTTTTCCATTTATTGTTCAGAGAAGATGAGCAACTGTCCCAACCCTTCTTTCTCCCATTTTCCAAGAAAGTCTCCTGGCAAACATGCACGGGAAACTCAACTGGTGCTCAGTGAGTGCTGGAACATGGGAAATAATGATTCCTGGTCTGTGCTGTGACACTGGGATTGTCCTAACACTCATCCTGCCTCTGGCTCCAAAGGAGTGTGTTTGTGGGCTGGTGAGAAGCTGTCTGAGTCCTTGGAGCTCAGTAGAGCCCTTCCCTGGGGTCATTCCTGTCCTTCCCCGTGCAATTGCCAGTGCTCTCAGTCCAGACTGATGTCTGAATGCTGGTGAGCAGGGAGGGAGGGAGGGAGGGAGTGCAGGCTGGATGTGCTGCAGTGTGTGCAGTGCAGAGCTTGAGGCCCTGTTTGAGCTTTGGGAGCCACAGGGGACAAAGGGGAGTGCTGAAGGGAAAGCTTCCAGAAGTCACAGTGAAACTGTTCAGTAGTCTGGTTCCTGAGCTGCAGTCTGGGTAAATACCTCCCTGTTTGATGTGATGAGGACGACCAGGTTAAACACTGTGTTTGGAGGAACGGGGAGAGTTTTGAGTACTGCCCTAAGCCATGGCATATCATACATTGTATGTAGCATAGGACTCCAAGTATCTTAATTACCTTTCCTGCCCTTGGAGATCATGTTTCAAGTTCTGGAAACACTCTGCCAGAATTAAACACAAAGAGAAAGGAAAACATCCATCCACAGTTAGATTTTTTTTTTTTAACAAATGCATGCAAGTATTCTAAAGAAAAAAGCAGCCAACTATAGGTTTGTTATTTCATTAACATTTTAAAATAACAAGTTTGCTGCTCAAAAGAGATCAAGTTGCAACAATAACTGCAGAATCATTTTCTAAAAAGCAGCAATTTACAAAGCTGATTTTTATGTTTGAAAGAATCATCAGTTGATAACAAGCTCAGTCACTGGGATGAAACCAGTGAAGGGGCTGAGATAGCATTCAAAATCAAACATAAATCAATA